TTGCATATTTTATCCTTCCTGCAAAAGGAGTTTATGTTTTTAGTGCTGGGGAGATTCTATATTTAATTGATGCCAGAGCATCACTCAAAATTGCCATAAAAATGTCCACTCCAGTGACCTTTCCATGTTCTGTCACAAGCAGGAGTGATGGATTGACAAAGTGGTCCTGCACTGACTGTTGCTAAAAACACATCAGGTCCTTTTGTGCATATTTACAATATAGAGGATTGAGTTGTTTACGAAACAACCCTAGAAAGTAAAGGCTTTGAAATTTTCTATTTGAAATCATTTTTTAAAAGGGAAATCTTGAGTCACTGATATGATTTTAACATAGTAGTATTCTAGAATCAACTCACGGGGATTATATTCTTAATAAAAAAAAAAAAAGAACATAATCAGTCACATATCACTGTTCGTTCCAAATAGTGCTTTACCCAAATGCTAATCAAAATGCTAGGAAAAATTACTGTATTTTACATAGAGCATTTCCTCAAACGAGCACTTTATAATGTAATGGACTTCAGTATTCACATCATCCCTTCAAGAAGGTAAATAATGCCAACATTCATTATTATTGCTGTTATTGTTAACAATCATTACTATTGTTACTACTCTAACAACCATAATAACCGTTGTTTCTTTTCACCCTTCAGAAAACGCTATTAAAAACAAGCCACACAAGAGGAAGTAGTACACATCGAAACCTTTCGGAGCTCTTCTTTAGGACGCCAAGTCAGGGAGGGTGAGACAGGGGATAGGAAAGAAAGAGGCAAAGACAGAGAAGTGTGAAGAGAGAGAGAAAAACAGTATTAAATGCTATTAAAAATGTGGATACAGGTAAAGAAAGAGACAAATCACATGTGTGTCAAAGAAAAAGGAGAAGTCTATTTTCAGCTTACAGGAAAAGGCACAAGAAAGATATAATCCTAGCACCTTTTCCTTGTACAACTGTTCTCTTTTCTAGGATAAAGCCTGGATGCTTAGTTGCCGTGTCCAGCCACAGGAAGACCCTGGCCATCCCAAAGATGTGTGTGCTACTACAGCTTCACATGATTCTTACGTTCCTAAAAATGATACCAACAATGAGTTTCAAAATATCAATTCTCAGCCTAATCAGGCTTCACTCTACCCTAAATTCAGGTATCAGGCCCAAAAGCCTACCACCATGTTTCATTTAGCGACTGTGATTTTTAAAAAGAGCACGAGGTTTCAAACAAGAATGGAAATGATTGTGTGTAATGTGACAGCCAAGAGCCCAGAGAAATAAGAGCAGCACCCGCAGAGAGGAGGCACAGGAGGCCGGGCTTGATGAAAGGCTGCTCGGAGCACCGGAGGCCACTTGAGAGCATTTGCTGTGAGAAAGAACAGTACCTCCAAGAAGGAGACCACAGCCAAGTTCTACAATATTTTATATTTTCACCAACAGAGTAGTCTTGTCATACAAGAAGAAATTGTGAGGGAGCATGAGGCCAAGTTCATGAAGTAATCCTCTTACTTGCCATAATATTCACACATGAGCCGCTCCCCACAGAAGTTCCTTATATCGTCCCATTCCCTCAAACTTGCGAAGAATGGCCATGTAAAATGCCAAAACTTTGATCTTTGCTTATAATAATTTATTTAGCAAAAATGTATTAAGCACCTTAATTAGATACAGAGTGGATTCCTAGCCAGATACTCCAGACAGAAAGGTGACCACAGTGTGATCTCCATCCTTACAGAATTTTAAACCTTGTAAGGAGACTAAGAAGAAAGGCAACAGTAAAACACAGCCTGTTCCCTGTTACAGGAGAGGTGAGTGCAGGGTCCCATGGGAGCACAGGAGAGTCATCAACTCACACTAGGGAACCAGTGAAGACTTCCTGGAAAAGACTATGCATGAGCTGATCCTTCAAGAATCAGTCAAAGTTAACCCTGTAGAGAAAGAGGGATAGGGACCCTGGACTGCAGGAGCACGATGTACTTGGAAAGTATCAGTAACTGCGCTTTGTATGGAGAAGAGCCAGCAGTTAAGACAAGAGCGATTAGCTGCGGGACTGAAGTAAGAAAGAATTTTCAGGCTAACTAGCAAACCTGGCCTTTTACCCTAGGGATATTGAAAATCACTGTAGATTTTTAAAAATCAATATTGAGGCATAATTTATGTACAATAAAGTACTCATTTGAAGTATATAATACAATGAGTTTCAAGAGAGACATAAAGCTGTATAAATACAACTATAATTAAGATCAGAACACTTCTATTACCTTCCCAAATTTCCTCAAATCCCTTTGCAATTCATCCCTCCCTCTCAACCCAGCTCCAGGGAGCCATTAATCGCCCCCTTGTCTCTACAGATTAGTTGGATTTGCAGGTGTGGAACAAGTGGTCGTTCCCAGTCTAGTGCTAACGTGAATAAAGCTGCTATAGAAATACCTAGGAGAAGTATCTGGCTCATACAGTAGGTGTCTATTTAACACGTTTTCCATATTGGTCATAGGATTATGTATTTGCACCAGACATGCATAAGAATTTCAGTTGTTTCACATCATCTCCAATGGTTATTGTCAATTTTCCAACACATTTGTAGTGGTATCTCACTGCAGGTCTAATTAGCACTTCCCTGATGACTAATGATGCTGAACATCTCTTCATGTGCTTCTCGTCTATTTATATCTCTTCTTTGGTGAGGTGTTAGTTCAAATATTTTAACCAATTCTTTGTTGTTGTTAGGGGAAGGAGATGTAGTTCGTATTACTGAGTTACAGGAGTTCTGTATATATTCTGGACCTAAGTTCTCTGTCAAATGTATTATTGTGAGTATTTTCTCCCATCCTACATCTTGAGTTTCATGTTCTCCATGGTGTCTTTCAAAGAATGAAAGTTTTGATAATATCCAATTCATCGTATTTTTTCTTTATGATTCTTGTTTTGTGTTCTATCCAAGAAGGCTTAGACGTGAAACTGTTAACACAACACTGGGACAAAATTTCTAAATGTGTGTTTTTGTCCATTTCATGTACAAGTAAACTGTTTATCCTACTCTTTTGAGTGGGATAGAAAAGAAGGCATACTACAAACCTTTAGCCATATTAATTTGCTCTAATAAAAGATAGCATGTCTAACACAACATGGTACAATCAGAGCTACCACTTGGTTAAGCTGGTAGTTAAGTCTATGTTCATTCT